GCCAACTCTTGGGCTACTGTTTTACCAAGGAATAGTGGGATTGACCATCACATTATAACACCCCCACAGCTGAAAGGGCTAGCATGTTTGGTGTGAACCCGCGACCCTCAGATTGTGAGTCGAGCGCCCTAACCACCTGGCCATGCTGGGCCGAGTACTGAAAAAAGAACAGTGTGAACCATGTGAAATCAACACGAGTCAGATAGAGTTCTACAAGCAAATGAAAGTGATATCTGTTTTAGATCAAAAGCTTTTCTAAACTTGACTTCCTGCTCTGTATATTTTCTGACACCAAAGTTTATCGAGCTGGTTAGTGGTGCTGAATATCAAAAGTGACTCATGTCAGGAAGAAACATATAGTCTATATTCAGTTAGTAAGAAACAAGCTCTACTAGTCAAAGAGATAACAGTCATTATTATTTATGTAGAATTATTAAACTCAACTGACTTATAAAGCTAAAAATGAAAATAAGTGTCCTTTTCAAGACAGCTTGTCTGATATATAACAACACCAATTTTAGTTGTTACCATAACATTTTTGAGACTATAGAAATTATAACACGAGATAATTAAACTGAACATTTGGACAATTGTTCACTATCATTTATAAACCATATAAAATCTTACATACTAAGGTGGAATGAACATAATTTATATGAAAGCTAATCCAATAAAATTATAAACTATGATGCTTATAGTACCTGAAGTTCTGTTAAGTATGTATGATAGTATATTGGGTTATGACAAAATTGTCAGTTTTATATAAGAACACTGAATTGTGTAATTCATGCTACCAAAAAAAACTTAAGGGTCCTTATATGCATTTCAAATACTAATATCTTTAAATGAAAGATATGGAAACTGAATTTTTGGTTTATAGAAACAAAAGAGTCACTTAGTCTAGACAAACACAAGGTCAATTTGCCTTCAAATGTCTTTAATTTTTTTTTTTTATTTGGGCTTGTTTTATTCATTTAAACGTCATTTATCATAGGTTTGGATTTGCTGTTTTTAACACAGTCCTTCCTTTTGATTCGATTTTGCTTGACTGTTTAAGTATTAATTTTCTATACAGATATTCATTTACTTGATTTGTTGGTGACTATGTGATGCTATTCAATTACATTGTTCAACCTTTATGCAGTTAAGTGTTATTGCCTTAACTGATAGACAAACTGTGTCAACTATAATTTATCCTAGGGATCTCACTATAGTAATTATATTGCTGCTAATGTTATAAGATGTAATAGCAAACAATGTCTCAAATGTCCTACTCTAAAGACATTTCATCCTATTACTCATAAAAATTTACTCTGCAAAATAAATAATATAGTTTTTCTATTAACTTGTACTGAATGTAATGTGGAATGTGTGGGTCAAACCTCAAATCCATGACATACATATAAACTTGCATAGATCTCAAATCAAAAATAATTTAATGAATTCCATATAATTAAATAATTTTAGAATTCATCCTTTTACTTCTGTTAAGTTAACTATATTAAAAATTGTTAATGAAGAAACCAATAGACTACTTTTAGAACTTCTATATTTTGAAATTAAAAACATTATATCCTTATGGGTTAAACCACAATTTTAATAATTCTACTGCTTTGAATTTCAGTAATGATTACTGTATCGCTAATTTTTATTTATAGATAGTTTTTCCTCATTAAAGTAAGAAAATAAGATGTAAAAGAAAAAACTAATCATAATGGTGAATTATTTTAGAATTTTGTAGAAATTTAGATAATATTCTCTATTTTAGTATTAATGTACATAAATTATTTTTTAAAAAGAATTATCAACTTAATATTCCTAAAATAACAGCATTAATTAATATAATTCAAAAATGATCATGCAAAATACTTCTTTTGAGACATTGTAAAATATCGATTAAAAGTTAATGATTCATCAAGCTTTGAAAAAGAGAAAACAAATTAAGACTACATATTTGGTAAAAAAATTTAAAGATAAAGTATTCAATGACTTGCAGATTTCTAAAATTATTCATCAATCTATAAAAAATATTTTTACTTGTAAAAACTTAAACCCTACCAATAGTTAATAATTTACCTTGCGAGTGTGAAAATAGTTTATTTATTGATACTTTTCATAAATTTATTATTATTGGTAACTTTGAAAATATAAAAGTTAAACTATTATGTTAAATACTTAAAAAATGATCTAAATACATAATTGCCACAAAATGTAATAAGCAAAATATTCTAAAATCTACTGAAAACAATACTGATGAACATATTTTGAAACTTAACTATATTACATCTTGTCCACATAGATGGTTTTTTTGAATGGAAGTTTTATGTACTTAAAAAATAAGATTTAAATTATCTTGTATAAAATTAAAGAAATACCATATAGATTTATCGTTAAATCAATCAAAAAATAAGATTTAAGAATTACAAGAAGAATATGTTATAGTTTCCATTGATAAAGCTAATTGTAATTTTGCCTTTATTTCTAAAAACGTTTTATGCGTTAATTATGATAAACGAAATCAATAGTACACAAACATTAAACTTATTAAACAATACAAATATATTTAATTAATAATTTCATTAAAGCTTATAAAAATCTTATTCTCAACCAAAATATTTTATAGATTTACCTTTTCTGTATGCTATTGCTAAACTCCATAAATCTCTGATTAAATTCAAATTTATTTCTAGTTCATTAAAAACAATTATTAAACAACTAGCCATTTTATTAGATAAATTACTTAACATTTTGTTTCATAAAATCAGAAATGTAAATATTAATAATAAGAAACGCATTTTGGATAATAAAAAATTAACCAACACATTTAGAATAACTAAATAACTGTGAATAAATGAAAAATATTCAAACATTTTATTTTACCACACTGTATATCATATTCCATTGAAAGATTTAATTTCTCTTATGAATTCATTAATAGAGCAATTCTGTTATCCTTTCATAGTACTGGGAAAAAGAAAATTTTGTTTCAAAAATATATTAAGTTTCTGTATTTATAATAATTATATTTTTTTCAATAACCAGGTATTTAAAAAAAGTAATAGTTGTTCTAATGGGAGCTAAGTATTGTACTTATTTAGATCAAGAAATTAAAATAATTGATAATGATAATCTATATATTTTTGATAAAAGAATAGAATTTTCTTTTCCAGTATATGGCTTACCCTCTTTTAATAGTAATTCCCATGCTCTTCTGATATAACTTCACAATTATTCATATTTTGTAAAATTTGTAATATATTACAATATTTCATTATTAAAGTTGAAATATTGATGCAAAAATTATTATTCAGTGGATTTAATAAAGACACT